GAGCCCGCTCCTACTCTTCACTGAAGCTTTTTACATTTGACTGAACTGTTAAAACTCGACTCTCTCCTCTCTTAAAGTGAACCCACCACCTGTCTTAGCGCCTTGCTCTGTGTGTGAGGGCATTCAAACACCAATATGTATTGGTTGTTATATACTCTTTCATCTTTAAACACAGACTGCCTTCTGTGTGTGTGTTTGTGTGTGTTTTATAAGGGAGGGGGGGGGGGGGGTAATTAAAGGGGGACCCAGCCCACTGATCCCTCCCAAAGTAAACTCAAAGACAGAAAGAAAAGGCTGACTGTGATCCTTTTAAAAGGAACACATTTTTCTGAGGTGCATTGTAAAGAAACCGCCTCCACATAGTTTGATTCTAGCTCGTAAAGAATCAAACGACCCGCCTGCAGGTTGGAGGCTGTTCCCACATTATCACCGATATATCACTCATGCCATACATCGTTAGAAAGCTACAATCCTTGTGATTCGGACCGTGTAAACCACTTTAAGATCCAACCACCACAGTAGCCTACAATCTACTCATCTGTTAGACGATTGCTTCAAATTTGCTCAAGCTTTCCCCGAATTCCTACTGTATTTTATGAATGTGTGTTCAAACCTGAAACTAGTTTCACTGTGTAAAGGAGAAGCTGTAAGGTAGTTTTTGTGATCCTCTTAATGTTAACCTGACAGACGGAGAGGAAAGTGAGTGGATGATTAGCATTCCCGTTATGTGGACATGAAGCAATGTTTCCACAGAAAACCCTGAGGTGGATCCTTCACATCTGTCAGAAACACCCTACTCCTCTGAAATAGCTCGTCTTCATCACTTCATTCTTCTCTTCGATGTGTTCACTGTGAAGAGAGAGAGATAATTTTACCTTTTAGAGAGTGGGGAGGAGAGGACAGGGGGAAACAGCTGTGCAAACTGTGAATCCCACCAGAAGCTTCTGTTTCTTGCTGTCTGTGTGTCTTTCTGAGCGTGTGCAGCAGCAGCAGCAGCGAATAGTTTGTGGATAGCTTCAAAACTGCAGGAGAAGAAAAGTTGAACTTTTTTATCGCCTCCCTGACAAGAAAACACACAAACACAGTCGTTCAGTACACAAACAAAGATGCACGTTTAAACAAATAGCTGAAGGGACACACACACACACACACACACACACACACAGAGAGAGAGGTTTGCTCAGTCTGTTAAATGCAGCTCATCCATTGAAGGAGGGATTACAACAGACAAAGCAAAACACACACAAGTACTCACAGTGTATGTTTGGACAGATGGGTTTATCTTGTGTGTATGTGTGTGTGTGTGTGTGTGTGTGTGTGTGTGTGCGTGTGTGTGCGTGCGCGCTGTTCATTGTCATAGTCTCAGTAAACACAGAAAAAAAGAGGGTGTGTTCATTGGTGTCAACATAAAATCCAAAATTACATCAAGTTGCTCCTCCTCCCAAACGTACACGGTGCGTTAAGGTTCTCCTCAAACCTCAGATTTGGCGTTTTAATTGTCGCCATCTTGTTTGATTGTGAGAAAGAAGTGACCATATTTGGACAAGTGGGTAGAGCTAGCGCTATTCACCAATTCCAACCGCTTGTCCGAATACGGTCACTTCCTTAGACAAAGAATTCTTACTGACATCATCTCCTCAGAGCTTTAGTGCTTTTCCAATAACTCAATACTTCATATTCACACTGGTTTTTAAATATTTTGAAAAGTCTCCATTGACCCGTTAGCACATCCAGTTTTCCTCAAACTGTCAGGTGTCTAAGGACAGAAAACTTCTCAAACGTGTGTGTGTGTGTGTGTGTGTGTGTGTGTGTGTGTGTGTGTGTGTGTGTGTACGCGGGATTACTGAGGGTTTAAAGAGGTTCGGCACAGACCAGAACTCCTTCTAACAACATACGGCTCAGTGTTTGTGTCTCTTGGTTCGATTTGTTAGCTGCTCAGAGAGGCTTCATATTAAGAATCAGAGTCATAGTAAGCCTCCAGACGGGGGGCGTGCACTAAGTTGTTAGTGGGCGCCCCCCCGTCTGGAGGCCAAAGTCCTCCAGAGGGGGTAGCCAGGGTTTGAATCCAACCTGTGTCTCCTTTCCTGCACGTCATTCCCCACTCGCTCTCTCCCTGATTTCTCTTGTCAGAAATTGTGTGTGTGTGTGTGTGTGTGTGTGTGTGTGTGTGTTTCAGTTTTTTGTACACACTCTCCTCCATCATGGCTGAGCTGTCCAAACAGAGACACTGAAAGAGAAACAGAGCAGACGAGGGCCAGAAATGAGGTTTTATGAGTTGTTGAGACATAGGTTTGTAAAGATCATTCTTCTGCTAATGGAGGGGGAGTACAAATACACACAAGCACACACACACACACCCACACACACACAGGGAGATGAGCTGTGAGTAGAAGGCTTTCAGAAGTCAGACTGACTTCAGGAAACAGAAATGTCAGAGTGCAAATGTGCTGCTGGGTTCTACTTGCCTGCTGTGTTGAGGTTTTTTAAAGTATTTTAACACATGAACAATGATTCCAGGACACTTCACATTGTCCTCAGAGATTTTTGATTTATTCCCTTTCTGTCAGCCAGCCTTTAGTCTCACTTTAGCTGAAAAATATCCTGCAGAGACATTAACTTCCTCAACTTAAAAAAAAAAAACAAAAAAAAAAACAAGGGGAGCACTTTTACAAAATCCTGCAACAACAGGATCTGGATCATAAGAAGAGTTGAACGTGTGACATCAGGTATGGTATGTGGCCAAAATTATGTGGACACTCGTTCTACGTGTGACGGATTTAGAGCTGAAAGAAATAGTTAAAAGACAAAACTAAACATCAATTAATGACTTCTGCAAAGCACCTTTTAAAGGCCGTACATGTCTTCTTCTTCTTCTTGAACTAATATTTCACAAATCAAATACTGAATCTATCCAGCGGAATCAAAGCTGTATTTGTAGCTTTAGTTGCATTCAATGAATTCTAACCTCAGTGGAGCTGAAGAGTCACACAAAATAGTCACTTTATCACAAATGTTTCAGCTCAGTACATCCCTAGAAACGTTTCTCCATTTATCTTCAGACTTTATGAAACAAAGTCTCATCCTACCCTTGAAAATGAAGATATATTTGTAACTTTCGGGCCGTTACTCTGCACGTTTACTTCAATTGTGTTTCAGCAGCAGGGCCTTTCTTCTGTCATTCCTCAGAGTTTCTGCAGACAGATGTGTGACACGGCTCTGAACGACATGTGTGTTCAAACCCCACAGACGTAGCAGGCGTCCGTCCGCAACTCGTCTGTCATTACAGTCATAATAAGCAGCTCTGCATGAACACACACCGCTGCCTTCTGTCTGACTCCGCTCGCTGTTACAGCTGCTGCTCTCCGCCGCGAACCTGCTATTAGTATTTCCTCTGAGAGCCGCAGGACCTTTTTTAAACATTTAGTTCATTCAGACGGTCTTCTTAAGGCTCTGAGTCAGATTTTGTAACGCACGGCAACAACCAGCCTCAGTCTCAGGATGCTATAAACGTCCATCTTTTTTCTTTTTCTCTACCTGCAGTTTGACCAAAACTTTCTTTGATTTTCAAAATGGAGTAAAGTTATAACTTATAGGTCTGTAATTCATCCTCTGTGTGTGTGTGTGTGTGGTGTGTGGTTGTGCATGTGTGATAAAGCAACCTGTCCAACATTTAAAAAAGTTTTTACATCTCAGTTTTTAACAGTGGAGCGTCTTTAGTGTGTGACACCCACAGGATACTTGTTTTTAGATTCATTCACAGGCAGGAAGAAAAATGTAGAAAGCCAACAGACTGACGGTCTTTGTCAGCAGCACTATTAGCGTCACACCAACAGATTGGATCGCTGTCTTTGTCTCAAAGCTGCTGCAGTTCAAACAAAGACTTGTATTCTTCAGTTGCTTAAATCAGCATCACAAACACTATTCTGAGAAACAATGAATGAACAGGGCTTTCACTTTTTAATCTCTCTGAAGTGACGATGATGTAAGTGAGATAATCGCCTCCGAATTGCCGGTTAAACGGCGTTAATGGACTCGCTGAAGTGCTGCACGCCTCCGCACACACACACGCACTCACACAGACGGGCCGCCCATTCACACCGTTTAACAGAGCATCACTGCTTCTGACATTCATAAACTCCTAGATCGTGACTTTGATTTTCTGTATGGACGCCCACGAGTGAGAGACATCAGAGAGAGAGAGAGAGAGAGAAAAGGTGATGCATGGATGTTATGTCATGACGCTGGGAGGTAATTGGGTCTCCAACCTGCTGATTAGCTCACTGTCTGGCCTGGAGGTTTCTAGGAAATGTTTTTTTTAATTTTTTTTTTAAGTACAGCTCTGTACATGTGTGTGTTGAGTGACAGTTTACACGCTGCATTTCCCTGCGTTGCTTGTTTGGGCCTCAAACTTTTTCATGTGTCTGCACAGTTTGAGAAAGAAGAATGAATGGTGAAAAGGTTGATTCATATCTCTAAATAAGAGTTACAAAAAAACTGAATACTGTCTCCAGTAGATTTGTTCATCCTGCAGCAGTGAATCAGACTGTAATGTAACACTCTCAGCGCGTCTCCTGCTGACATGACACTTTTACATTTTCCCATAATTCCCCGTGAGGTAGCAGATCCGAAAGGTTTCACTTTTATAAACGGTTCATTCAATTTTCGGTCTTGCTGCTGTAATGACACAGAGCTCCTGGTGGGAACCATTAGACTCCAAAACCTCTGACCACCACTGCTGAGTCAGCAGGAAGAGGCCAATCAGTGTGTGTGGTGTGTGTGTGTGTGTGTGTGTGTGTGTGTTTGTGTGTTTGTGTGTGTTATGGTAACATAATGATAAGTGTGTGCTGTGTGTAGATGGCTCTGTAGCTCAGAGTTATATATAAACAACCTCAGATGATATGATCTGGTGCAGTGAATGAAAATAGGTAATTAATTTATTCATGTGTATAAATTTGAGCTTTGTTGTAACCCTCTCTCTCTCTCTCTCTCTCTCCTGTCAGGTGAGTCTCAGGGCACGGTGAACTTCGTCCTTTCTAAAGAAGGAGGTGACCTCTCCCTGGTGGAGCAGGCTAACGTCTGGCTCTTCCTTCGTTTGGCGAAGACCAATCGCAGCCGAGCGAAAGTCAGCATCCGCCTCTTCCAGCAGCGCCTGCTCCCCAACGGACGCCTGTCCCCGCCGCAGGACGATGAGCTGTTAGCTGAGAAAACGGTTGATACGCGCCGCAGCGGCTGGCACACCTTCCCCGTGTCGGCGGCAGTGCAGGCACTGCTGGAGAGCTCTGAGAGCACCACGCTGCGCCTCAGGGTGTCCTGCCCGCTCTGCGCCGACACAGGAGCGACACTCGTCCTGGTCTCCGGCGGCTCAGAGACATCACAGCGCACCAACCAGCGGGAGCAATCTCACCGACCCTTCCTCATGGCAGTGGTACGGCAGGAGGATGGCAGCGACTCACGACGGCGCCGGAAGCGAGGGCTAGAGTGTGATGGGAAGGTCCGCGTCTGCTGCAAACGGCAGTTCTACGTCAACTTCAAAGACATCGGCTGGAACGACTGGATAATCGCACCATCTGGTTACCATGCCAACTACTGCGAGGGCGAGTGCCCCTCCCACGTGGCGAGCATCACCGGGTCAACGTTGTCCTTTCACTCCACCGTCATCAGTCACTACCGCATGAGGGGCTACAGCCCCTTCCAGAACCTGAGGTCCTGCTGCGTCCCCACTCGGCTACGAGCCATGTCCATGCTGTACTACAACGAGGAGCAAAAGATCATCAAAAAGGACATCCAGAACATGATCGTGGAGGAGTGTGGCTGCTCGTAAACACGTCTGAACCCCATCAAACCAGAACAAACTGGGACTGGAGGGGACCCCAGAGGAGGGGGGGGGGGGCTGCTGAACCCCGGAGAGAGAGGTGGAGGGAAAAGAGAAAGATGAACTTTTGGATCATAGTCAATTTTATTGTCTGCGTCTGATTCCTCCTCCCTCCGTCACCCGGGGTCACTCTCTGGAATAAAAATTTTCCATCCTCGTCCAACAGAACTCCGAAAGAGTCTCGATGGCACTTTCAAAAAAAAAAAAAAAAAAAAAGAGATGAAAAGAAAAGATAGAAAAAAAGAATATCTAATATATTTTTGTTACAAAAGGAGGGAGCGTGGCGTATTTATGTGGCTGAGACGTTCAAGCACCACTCGACCCGTCAGATCTGGGAGAGACGAGGTGCATGAAAAAACTACTAACAAACAAATCTCAAAACTATGCAACTTGTTTCACGTATTACGATCTTATTGTATTTTACTTTGTTTTTGTTCCCCAACTGTTTACTTTTCAAAATGTACGAGGAAGAAAGAAGAAGACTTTTGTTTTATTATTTGGAAGTATACATTATTGATGTGTGTGTGTGTGTGTGTGTGTGTGTGTGTGTGTGTGTGTGTGTGTGTGTTGAGAGATACTTGAAAGAAACAAGTTGGCCCCGCTGCTGGAACCAAACACTTCTTTATGTTACCATGGTTACCATGTTGATGTTATAATTATTATTGTCAGTAAGTATATTAATAATATTATTGTTATTGTTGTTAATAATATTTTGTTTGGCTGCATTCGTGTTATTTTGTCTGCTTTGTTGTTGTTTTTTTAAAAGAAACGTTGCATACGTTTTTTTTATGTTTTGCACTATAGCGACACTTGTGTTCAGATCAGACTGAAGATAGAGAGAGAGAGAGGGCAGAGTGGGGCGTCCACTCCACAAAGGCCACAGGTTTGATTCCCCGCGATAAGCTCTGAGGTCAGAGTCTTCTGAAGGACAGAAGGAAGACTGAATAATAAAAAATATTTAAAGTATTTACAGTGTTTGGACTTTTTAAATTTGTCGAAATTTGATAGCTGTTCACTGACATTGAAATGTTTTTTTTTTTGTACAACTTGAAGGTCTTATTTTGGGTTAAAGCCTTCCGAAAGTGCGGGTAATAAACGTCTGATAAGAGAAATACTGAATCCCTCTTTAATCATGTTTGTTGACATCCAAATACAGAATTCAAGTTAAAGCTGGTCTGACAATAACAAAGTCAGCCTGAAGAATAACCCATCATGTGAAGGTTTTTAATCATAAAATTAAAAATGACCACATTTTCCAATACAAACACAGAGGACAGCCCTTCTTATTATTCTGTGTCGATAAAAAGATTCATGACATTTTCACCAACAGTCACATTAATAGACGCTGAAAGAGATCATTAGAACAACTTTTCCCTAAAAAAAAATTAAAAAAAAAGAAAAGTTTTTGGATTACATTAAAATAAAAGTTGCCATGTCCAAGCAGATTTGAGCTCTTGGAGTAATTGCATGTTAAGAAACTTGAGCTGTGGAGGCTTCTGATTGGATAAAGTTTACCGCTTCATTGGATTGTCCCAGTTTCCGAGTTGGGAAATCATTCATCCGACTTCAGTGTGTTTACGTGCTTTCAAATCAGGAAAAAGCGTTAACGTTAACGAATATTGCTCGAGCTAATGTTCCTGACTTGTTACTAGCCTAAATATATATCTAAAATTATAAAATATCAAATGAAAACCCTTGAAATACTTAATATCGTTGTCTATGGTGGATGTTTACAAAGTGCAAACTAGCTAGCTGGAGGTGGTTAGCATTAGCCAAGAATACTCACATTTTTTCATCTTTGCGCGCTACAAATAAAAACGTAACTTCATCTCTTCAGTCGATTTTCCTCTCTTGAATCAAAATATAGTATTGTAATAATGCCACAGATTTTAATACTTAAAGAAAGATTAATTTTCACCATTTTGAACCTGATAAAGACATTTTATTGTGTCTTAAACAAATTTGCACTATGGATAAAGATGAAGGTGTTTTCACATGTTTTTTTTTCTTTTATGACAATGTAAACCTTTTACAGAGCCTCTATGAATACAATCACAAGTTAAACCCATTTTAATGAGCATTTTCTTTGGATTTACAGGAGAAATTCAGAATAAAACACATGTTTTGGTTCGAAGTGATGAGCAGCTAACAGTTTGCTGTTTACGAGGGACAAAGATGCTGACAGTCATTCATAGATTCTTAGAGTGTCTCTTTGAGAAGGTAATCAAAGTTTTTGTGTTCGCGTCCAGGTTTAGTTTGCTTTAGAACACCAAAGAGTCGAGTTTGTGCACTTTGTGTGACTGAGGAAATGGAAGTTATGTTCAATGATGCTGAAAAAAAAAAAGAAGAAATTCTGATGTATGTCCATTTTGATACGGAAACATAAATTCCAGTTTGTCTGAAGTCTGTTTCCGCTTTAAAGTTTTTATTTAATCAACAAGGCTGGCGTAATAAATGAAATCTTTTTAGTTTTTGTTGCAGATTAATTTAGTTTTGGTTCATTTTAGAACAAATTTCCACTTCTTTTTTTTTTGTTGCAGTTTCGATGTATTTCCTTTGTTGATGTTCCTGCACAAGAAGACTCCATTACCCATAATTCTTTACTCTATACTTCTTAAGTGAAACACAATATCCAGTCCCCTCGCTCTGCTTTGGGAGAAAACAAACACGTCCAATCAGATTTGTTCATTTCTGAGTGTTCTGTGTTGTCTGTGTTTTATCAGTATTGTCGACTTTGTTCACCAAAAGGTTCAGTATTTTCCCTTTTTTATGAAGTCACAATGTGTTGTTTTTATTTTTTGTTTTTGTTGATTTTGTTTTGGAAGAGTGTGGACCCTCTTCTATTGGACTCTTCGGGAGAAACTCATTGTCCATCCAGTGTGGGCACGGACGAACACAAACTGTCAAGACAGAAAAAAAAGCTGAAAAAAAGGAGTAAAAAGTGGTTCTATTTCTTCAGACTTTGTTCTTTTTATTAAGACAAAAAATAATGACACTGAACGAGGTGGACAAAGAATAAAAAGTCTATTTTTTATTCTGTATATATGGAAATCAAGATTCCAGTATGTTGCATTGCTTTCTTGTACAAATCAAATGTGCTTGTGGCATTTTTCTAATCTAATTTATTTTACGGTATTGTTCTGTTTTTGTTTTCTGCTTCACCATTAAAGATTAAAGGATGAACACAAATGAAAAGCCTCTGTGTTGCTTTGACTCTCAGAAAAAATATTAGAGCCCGACTGATATTTTAGTTGACCAATATGACACAAGGATACATCTGTATCGGCATGTTTTCAAATATGCCACAATATTCTTATTTAAAAGTTTGTTTAGAAAAGCATCCCTCAGATTATCTCTGTATTGTCAAATTAATGATTAATTAGAGTTTAAAAAAAGTATTTGGTAACGTAGGAACAACTGTCTAAGACTTTCCATATCTGTCGTGCCTTGAAAAAATTAAGAAAAAAAGAAACAACCAAACACCCAATATCTATGATTTGCTTGATTCTTTTATAAGACTTTGGTACCAATACAGATAAAAATAACTGTTTAATAAATCTTAAGTGACAGATAGTTTGTTGTGAAGAACGGTAACATTAAGTCAGTGTTGTTCAACAATTTCTCACCTCCTTTGTTAGGTTGTAGAGCTCTACACACAACTGTGGTTTTTAGTCATGCTGACATTTGAAGTAAGACAAATATTTCATCATGAACCTCACCATTTTAAAACCTTATTGCAAACAGTGAAGCTGAGCTCTTCCAGCTTCAGAAAACAAGTCGTCAGGGTCGAAGACGAGGACGCTGGACTGACTCCAGTCAGCGAGTAAGAAATACAGGCTCTATGACAGCTGAGATACACAAGCGGAGCTAAAGCTCGAAGGAGAGCTCTGCCTGTGAAACTTTGAAGCTGCTGAAAGATGATACACAGGAGGTTTAATACAACAGGGACAAAAGAATATTTAAGTCAATTAAAGCCATAGGAAAATGTAACAGAAACAGGTACAAAACATAACCAATCACTTGTCCCCGCGTCACAAAGAACACCTGCAGCAGCGGAGTCATCTTTAGGAAATTCTAAGAGTCTCAAGCAGAGGAAGACTGTTTTTGCCATGGTCCTGCATTTTTAAAGAATAAAAACAAAGAGCCACAAACAATATAAGCAAAAAAGCTTCATCAAAATGTCATTTTGTATATACATGTACTGTATGTATGTATGTATGCATGTATATATGTATTATATATGTATGTATGAATGTGTGTGTGTGTGTGTGTGTGTGTTGTATGTGTGTGTGTTGTATGTGTGTATGTATATGTATGTATGAATGTGTTTTGGGAAATACGAGTTGTCTTCTGTGTTTGTCGGCTCCTTAAAAAGAGAGAAGCATCAAAGGACAGTGGACCACAGCAGCAGGGAAACACCCTCCTGTGGTCTCTGTGATCCACAAATACACACTCATCTTATTTGCATTATCTGCAACATCTTGTTCCTTCATCCGTAACAGGAACACTTCCATCCTAAACCAGACTCCAGATCTTTGACATCACTAAGAGTCTCACAGAGCAGGTTGAAATCTTTTCCCTTGGACCTCTCTTAGATAGAAAAGCAAAGAGTGTCTCATCTTTTCATGTGAAAGGATGGTGTCATCTGCAAATCATTTGACCCTCCTCCTGTCATTAAAGTGTGGCTCAACCCCGACGTCTGTGCCAAGCTCCACCCACTGAAAATAAGTAAAACCTTTGTCAAAATTAAAAATCTAACACACGTTCAATATAAAGGAAATTGAGTACACACCCTCTGTTTAAATACTGACAAAAATGTGTTTTCTGTGTTTGCATGCCACATCCTTGTACGACCTCATTGTTTCATAAAATATCTGCTGTTTTTTTTTCTCCTCACAACAGCACACACACAGGCAAAACAACTCCATGACCTCATCATCTGCTGCTCACACACACACACACACACACACACACACACACACACACACACACACACACACACACACACACACACACACACACACACACACACACACACACACAGTGTACACACTCCCATTTGCCAGACTGTATGTAAGAAGTGGGCGCAGCCAACATTATGTCACTCATTGGTTTGTCAACTACCATTTGGAGCCTCAAGTTTGGCAATACTTGTTTTTTTTTATCCAGAAGTGACCACATTTGGAGTGCAGAGGGGATATTACTTAGCTGCTATC